ATGTATGAAGTCACTTCTGATTAAGGCAGGGTGGCTACATTTCTTCCAGATGGACCAATAGTCTAACGGAAATAATTTCCCGGCTAAGCCAAGGATGGCAGCAAACAAACAACAGTTTGAAGCAACACATGGGCGGTGAGGAGGCTTCCTCAACAGTGGTAACTAGTGATATCTAGCACTTCCAAGCATTGCACAGTTTGTTAATGTACACGTGTTGGAAAATCTATGTGTATCCCAACCACAATCCCTCCTTAGGAAAGAAACAATAGAACCTTTCAAAGCATTTGCACTACAATGTCCCATCAACCAAGACAAGAATGTGGGTCACACCAGAGTGATTAAAAAGAGAGAATACAGCAGGTCATGGCTGAAGACAAAAAACTCTCTGTACAGGGCCAGTCTGGACAGATTCTCTAGATATATAAAAAATGCAGCGCTCTAGCCAAACAGAACACTAAAAGATCATAAATATATGAATAAAAGCTCAAAAGTAAATGTGTTTACGTAAACATACACGTGCAACCACAAAATGAAAAAAGCTAGCGTATTAAGCAGCCAGAACGTGCACAGTCCCACCAGAATTAATAAATAAATGCACTACGAGGCGCAACAGTGAATGTGTTGATTGCGTCTGAGTATGGCGCAAATGGTGCGTAGGTGACAGCAAATGTCCAATATACAGGTTGGTGAAAATCCATGCTCCAAGTGAGTGTGGTAATGAGAATATATTGCACTAACCAGATAGCACAATAAAAAGCGCCTTTGAGAAACTCCAGACCACTCCTGGTCATCATCATCCTAGGGTAACCACGGGGATCATCTGGCAAACGTCTGTGTAGCAATCGTGCACACAGAGATGGACGCAGCCCTCCATTTTGTTAAGAATTTTCCATGTTGTACCAGCTCTCACTCCCAAAGCAGGCTTCCTCCTCCAATCATCCCCCCTCCCTCTCTGTTGAGTGACATGTGGTCTGTTTGATGCAGAGTTCAAAAAGGCATCGAAACCCAGTGGGAGGGCGTCCTGGCTATAAAACCTCACCAGCTAGGTGCCCCCGTCTGGTAGCTGTGCAATCTGGGATATCGTAAAAGCGTAAACCAATAAATGCGCCTCGTAGCGCATTTATTTATTAATTCTGTTGGGACTGTGCACGGTCTGGCTGCTTAATAAGCTAGCTTTTATCATTTTGTGGTTGCACGTGTATGTATGTTTATGTAAACGCATTCACTTTTGAGCTTTTATTCATATATTTATGATCTTTTACTGTTATGTTTGGCTGGAGCGCTGCATTTTTTAACATATCTATGTTTATGAGGGTTGGAGGTTAAACCTTTTATGCCAGCTGCTTTTTATTATTGGTTTCTCTAGCGTTCGTTTACCCACTTCTACCTATTTGGACAGATTCTCTGTTACCTTTAGCTGTTCTCTGTGTTGGATGTGGTGAAGTATTTTCTTCCTTGGTCCTAGTGGGATACCCAGATCTTTCAAGTCTTGCTCTGTGCACAATGACTAGAATAGAATGTGATACAAATTAAACACTATGCAAGGCATCAATAACATGTAACAGAAGCACTATTCATGTGCAGGAGTCTCTAGACACAAGATGGTGGGGAGAATAATCACTGTTACATCTATAACTATTATAGTGGAACAGTATACGGGTGTAAACAAGCAATAGCAGTCATAAGCTGATTTTGACATTTTACAACTGTTATTTTTTTCATTTCTATATGCCAGCAAAGTATCACCTTGTACGTCTATTTGTTGACACCCCACATGTCAGCCTTATCAAAAGATAACAATGTTGACCAAAGGAAACTGAACCCCAATTTATTAACAATTCCCAGAAACCAGGCAGATTAGGCATCTTCCATTTTATTTATACCAGTGCAGCAGATCACTGTGGGCCAGAAATGATAAATGAATTACCAGAGCTTCTGTATCCATCATTTCTTTTTCAAACATACTGAGAAGTTCAGTCAGTTCCAACTCCTGAAGCACGTCCCTCAGTGTCTGACTCCTCACCGGAGTCTCTGCTTTGAGTTCCGATGCCTACAAACAACAACGTCTGTAAGAACAGCAAGGCATACTATTCACATACATACACTTTAAGAATTTAGAGCAATCATACTAATTAATCCATAGGATCCCTAACATTTTATGATACAGGAATAGGAATACAGTCTACATACAATTTAATCGGAAATGAAAACAAACAAACACTCTGTTTTAGTCACTTTAACACTAATCACTTAAATATCCTTCCAGCTGAATTATTAACCTTTCCCTTATGGTGGAACGTCACCCTCTCAATCAACACTGATTGAGCTAGCATTAGTAAATGGATCGGAAAGTATATCCTATCTAGCCGTTTTAAACTTTTTGTTTTATATTTCTTCAGTAATTTCCATGCCAAAGCAAATTATGTCATACATCTCAGGAGTCTTCAGGAGGGGCTTTCTCAGATAAGCACACCCTCCTGCCTTCATGCCTAAACTAAGGACAGATGGATTCCAGGGAGTAAAAGCTACATGAATCATCTGCCCTTACTCAAGAGGACAGAATCCAGAAATGCTAGGGGGATGTTTTTCAAAGTACTTTCTCAGCAAAATAAAGCATGGAGACAAGAATGGATGGGGAGGGGAGGGGGGTGCTGTGAATATTAAAAAATAATTAAATGGGGTTTTTGGCATGTGGAACTCAGATGCAGTGTAGGTCCGCTTTAACACTTCATCTTTAACATCTACATCTCAAAATAAATACTTAAAGTCTGCTTTTAAAAGTTCAATATGTACTTTACCCATGAAAAGCAAATCAATAGGTTCACTTTAATGGCAGACCTACAAGCAGTAAATACTCACCTTCCCTTTGCTCCTCTGCTATTCCATTTGACCAAGCAAAGAAAATGCCCAGTACTTCTGGGTAAGGGGAGCATGCCACTCAATTTCCTTCTTCCCATGTGATAGCTGTCTGCTCAATCACCCAGACCTGTCCCAAGGGGGTGGGAAGAAAGCCCTTAGCCTGGATAAGCTTTAAGTCATGACCTGCAGCTTATCTATAGCTAATTCTCTTCACCCCTAAAATTTGAATAGTCGGGAAGAGAAAGTAAATACAGTGAAAGAAACAAGTAAGTATTTGATCCCCTGCTGATTTTGAATGTTTGCTCACTCACAAAGAAATGATCAGTCTAAAAATCGAATGGTAGGTGTATTGTAACAGTGAGAGACAGAATAGCAACAAAACATTCAAAAGAAATGCATGTCTAACAAATTATGCATGGATTTGCATGTTCATGAGGGAAATAAGTATTTGATCCCCTATCATTCAGCAGGATTTCTGGCTACCAGGTGTCTTTCATACAGGTAACAAGCTGAGATTAGAAGCAGTCTCTTTAGGGAGTGCTGCTAATCTCATTTTGTTACCTGTATAAAAGACACCTGTCCACAGGAGCAATCAAACAATCAGATTCCAAACTCTCCACCATGGCAAAGACCAAAGAGTTGTCCAAGGATATCAGGGACAAGATTGTAAACCTACACAGGGCTGGACTGGGCTACCAAACTATCGCCAAGCAGCTTGGTGAGAAGGTGACAACAGTTGGTGTAATCATTTGCAAATGCAAGAAACACAAAACAACTGTCAGTCTCCCTAGGTTTGGTGTGCCATGAGAGATCTCACCTCTTGAAGTGTCAATGATCATGAGAACAGTGAGGAATCCTCCCAGAACTACACGTGAGGAACTTGTCAGTGATCTCCAGGCAGCTGGGACCACAGTCACCAAGAAAACAATTGGTAACACACTAGGCCGACAAGGATTGAAATTCTGCAGTGCCCGCAAGGTCCCTCTGCTCAAAAAAAGCACATGTCCAGGCCCATCTGAAGTTTGCCACTGAACATCTGAATGATGCAGAGGAGGACTGGTTGAAAGTGTTGTGGTCAGATGAGACCAAAATCGAGCTCTTTGGCATCAACTCAACTCGCCGTGTTTGGAGGAGGAGGAATGCTGCCTATGACCTCAAGAACACCATCCTGACTGTCAAACATGGTGGTGGAAACATTCTACTTTGGGGTGTTTTTCTGCTAAGGGGACAGGACAACTGCACCTCATCAAAAAGGGACGATGGATGGGGCAATGTACCATCAAATCTTGGGTGAGAACCTTCTTCCCTCAGCCAGGGCATTGAAAATGGGTTGTGGATGGGTGTTCCAGCATGACAATGACCCAAAACACACGGCCAAGGCAACAAAGGAGTGGCCCAAGAAGAAGCACATTAAGGTCCTGGAGTGGCCTAGCCAGTCTCCAGACCTTAATCCGATTGAAAATCTGTGGAGGGAGCTGAAAGTTCGAGTTGCCAAATGTCAGCCACCAAAAATTAATGACTTGGACAGGATCTGCCAAGAGGAGTGGGCAAAAATCCCTCCTGAGATGTGTGCAAACCTGGTGGCCAACTACAGGAAACATCTGACCTCTGTGATTGCCAACAAGGGATTTGCCACCAAGTACCAGGTCATGTTTTGTGAAGGGGATCAAACACTTATTTCCCTCATGAACATGCAAATCAGTGCATCATTTGTTGGACATGCATTTCTTTTGAATTTTTTGTTGCTATTCTGTCTCTCAGTGTTACAATACACCTACCATTTGATTTTTAGACTGATCATTTCTTTGTGAGTGGGCAAACATTCAAAATCAGCAGGAGATCAAATACTTATTTCCTTCACTGTACATGCAGCTTGGGGAGTTACGATTAAAGAAAATATGTTGGTCTGCCTGGGCAAAGCACAAAATTACTTCAACCTCTTGCCTTTAACCTCACTCTGAAATGAAACCACAAAGTTCCTGACCAATACTAATTATAACCCCCAAACAAAGTCCTTGTTCTAAAAACTCTAATTGCCCTGCTTTGCAAAAATCCAAGCAGAGATCTTAAATAGCTAGAACTAGAGGTCAGTTAAATAAAAACACATGCTGTGGCTTGGTAAATTATAAAGAATGGATCCACTAACCTACAAAGTGGAGGGAGGTATAATAATCAGATAAACTAGAGAAAAAAAGAAACAGAAAATATACCTTTACCCTCTGGTGATTTCGGAGTAAGGGATCATTCTGGTTTGTTAGCATATCAAATAGTATAAGTGATCCTGTGTAAAAGGAACATAGAACAACAATTTTAATAAAAACACTTGCTGAAATGATGTAGAATAGTGAAACAGAAATAAAAGTCTACTACATGCAACTGGACAACCTTGTAAGGTTTACTACAAAGCTATGCCAAAAACGCCGGAATGTACTTTATGTGCTGGTTAGTGTAAATGAAACTTCATTTGTATATCTGCTGTTCATCCTTCAGTATGCCACAATCTAGGGGCAGTGTCTCTGACAATCTTATGCAATGGCACAGTCTATGGTGATCTTTGTGAAGGACACAGTCTCCATCAGTTTCTAAGTAATTATACCAGTTTTCTATAGTCTGGCACTCCCATTTTGTTTTTGTAAAATACAGCAGTGGTACACACAAGCTTTGGGAATGGGTATGGGCATAGCGTTTACCGATACAAGTGGATTCAAAAGTGGCTTGGATTTACAGGTTTCACGATTCAGGTCAGTGCTGATAGCTTTTAGTTAAATCAGCCTATAAATAGAAAAGAATCAAACCATATTAGTATACAAATGATCCACTGGTAGTCCGTAGAACTATTAGGATGAAAGAACAAGCAGTTAACCAATGAATAAGAGGTCTACGCATTCAATGGTTATTTTGGCTTTTGACCCTGAAATATGATCATTGTCAGTCACATTGTCACAATAACTGACACAGGCAAGCCATAAATATGCTGTTCATTGGTTAAAAAAGGAAAAAAAAAAAAAAAAAAAAAAAAAAAAAAAAAAAAAAAATTCATTTCACCTAAATTGGAATCTCCAAATCATATTTACATACTAATGGTCAGATAGCTAATTTACTGCAAATATTAAAAGTGTTATTAAACCCAGGACCCTGCATTCACTATATCTGGTCTCCCATAGTACTCAGAACATGAAAATGCAACTATTTTAGTGAATATAAACTGATAAATACCTTTTCTCATCAGCAGTTAGAGAAGTCTTGTGACTTTTATCAGTGTCCAGCTGAGCACTGGTTAAAGCTTGTAGGAGAGTTTTCATTCTCCCCTATGAGGCTGCAGGAACCCTGACCCTCAGTCTGGACAGCACTGATTGGCCTTATGCTGATCACATGCACTCTCACAAGATAAAAAACTCTCTAGCAATACACACCAAGCCTCTGTTCTATCAGGAGTTATATTGGGGACTGTGGAAGAAGGGGAGGATCAGAGAAGAGAGTCAAACATCCCTTTTACACAATGTGGAGGACTAACCCCTTAGGTTCCACAGTGAGTATGACAAGCATGCTTTACTACATATACAGACTGATTTTACTGTTGTGGGTGTAGCAACACTTTATATTTCTAAAATGGCATCTATGGTCAGGCTTTTAGATGTTCACCTTGGACAGCTAAAAGGACACCTTACATGACAGAAATAAGGGAGCTGTCATTCCTGACTTCCTCCTGAATATGCTAGCTGCCTGGTTAAAATACTTTTTGATTTACAGATCTGGAACATACATGATATAACTAAGTGGCACAGCAGAAGTGTCAGAATTCCTTATCTCCATACTTCTTTACAGCCAAGGCATCAATCTGACTGGCAGAGGACTAACATACTCCAAAGGAGAGATCACCATTGGCAGCCCTCATAATTCTTTAATGACAGGTATAGATGGATTATTGTTTTCCACGTGCATGGCTAAGTTGGTATATTAATGGGCACCGTTAAATATAGGTCTGCAGAGAACTTCAAACTGTGGAGTTCCATATACTAGATAGGAAGCCCTGTTAAACGCAATACAGTATATTTTATGGGAAGTGGGTCAAACAGATGCATGTTGGAAGGATTTCTCAATTGTTCTCAAAAGATTTAGTTCACCTCTACCAAAAAAGCTGCCTATGAATGTAATGGACGTCTGTAGATAAAAATCAAACTGTGCAGCTTTGTCTGAAGCTGAATAATGCCCTTGCTATAGGTGTAAGCCATTTGCGTACCTCATGAAGCCTGACCTGAAAACTCCCAGGATGTTGCTAGGACGTTGCTAAGCGAGGCCCAGCTGTTACTGTTCACCTCCACCATCACAGGAGTGAGCTCTCAGACTCTGAGCTCAGAACTAATTGCATCAGGGGAGAAAAAGTCCATATCAGGGGTTTGAATCAGAGAAAGAGTTCATTCCTGTGATGGTGAAAGTGAGCAGTAATAGCTAGGTTTTGCTTAGCAATGTCCTGGAAATTTTCACGTCAGGTTTTGTGAGGTACAGTATGTAAACGGCTGCATCTATAGCAAGTGCATTGTTCAATTTTGGTCAAAGCTGCACAGCTTGTTTTCATCTACAGACATCCCTTATCTGCACAGGCAGTTTTGTGGTAAAGGTGAATTAACCCTTTAAGAGTATCAACCAACAAATGAAGTAGGAAAAGTAATTCACCAATGAATTGGCAAACACCACCACTCAACTGTACTCTAGGTTATATTGTTACCCACCAAGGCTGTGTCCGGTCACTGAAACCTGTCCCTTGAATGCCTGATTCCGTTCCAGAAAAAGTCGGTAGATACGATTCATCTCCCCACACACTGTATTGACAATGGTTTGGCAATATGTTGGACTATTATAAAAGAACAGATCTAACAGTGTCTCATTAGTGAACTGACGGAGTCGATTAATGCTGGGAAGTGTAATCCTTTGGATGTCGCTGCAGAGAAAGAAATATAGTTTACAAGGTCACTGCACATCCACATAATGCAAGAAACTCTGCAGAGGGTCAGAGTACAATGAAAATAATTCTAAAATCATTACAATGTGCACTCAAGGTCACTAAACTAGGTATCAAGTACAAGACCCTATGGGGTTGATTTACGAACACTGGAGTGTGCAGAATCTGGTGCAGCTCTGCATAGAAAACAACTGGCTTCCAGTTTTTTTTTTTTTTCACAAAGCAAATTGAACAAGCTGATTGGCTACCATGCATATCTGTACCAGATTTTGCACTCTAGTTTCAGTAAATCAACCCCTATTTGCCTTTAAATAGAACTAAAGACCACAAGACTTACCTCTCCCTCCTGCGATGCAGTGTTCATTAGCTCCCTCATCTGCACGGACATGGTCTACTTGCAGGTTCAGCAACTTTACTGCCAAGGCTGATATGATGTAACTTCTGCGCATGCACAGAGTAGTTAATTCATCCTAGTGTCACATCACAGGAGTGATAAAGGTTTGTTAGACCAGGCCACATTCTTCTGTCTTCAGCTCTGGTAATCTAATGCCCATTGTGGCCTAATTCTCCTAGATTGTAAGCTCCAAGGAGCAGGGCCCTCCTATCCATCTTGTATTGAACTGTATTGTTGCTGTATTGTCTCCCGTTATATTGTAAAGCGCTGAGCAAACTGTTGGCGCTATATAAAATCCTGTATAATAATAATTCCCCAGTACTTAGCAGGCAGCAGTGGAAGCCTGGGTGGTTCTTCTTTAGCCCATCCAATTCAACGTGCTGTGCATTTACAGATGTCATTCTAAAACTGGTTTAAAAAGTAGTAGTTGCAGATTGCTTGTCAGCTTGAACACATCTGGTCAATCTCCTTCTGACCTCCCATTACCAAGGGGTTATAACTTACAGAACTGACAGTTACTGGAGGTTTTCTGCTTTTCTCACATTCCTGTGAAACCAGGTTTCTGAGATGCATCAACAGGCACATGAGCAACACAATTACTTCATAGTTCAAGTCACTTAGATCACGCATCTTTCCCATTCTAATGTCTACTGACGAGCAACTGAACCTCTTGACCATATCTGCATGTTCTATGTATTGTGCTGCAGCAGGTCTACCCAATAGAGTGGTCACTGAGTAAAATAAAATGACAATCACCTTGCTGACTCTACTGTGCTTTTTCAATAACGTTATTCATTTGTATTTAAACCCAACAGCAGCCACGGATGTAATGGCGTTAGATATTGGCGCTCTTGGACCCCTGCTTTTTTGCCCCCCCCCCCCCTTTTTTTTCTCCCCTTTCTCTCTCTCGCTGTTTTTGGAGTGACTGGACAGCTGCCTTTAGTTGTTAGAGTCAGTTGTATTAATGTTTTGTTCCTTATGTGCCATTGACAGCCCCTGCGTGGGCGTACCTTTTGCCCTGTTGGCATTAGAGCACTGTTTTTCTTTTATTTTGCATTTTTTTTTTCTGTGCAATTGATAGCTCCTGTGTGGGCGAGTTTTATTACCTCTGTTTTATAATGTTTAAAATAAATCAATAAAAACCATTGGAATATAAACCCAACAGCAGCCACAGCCATACCTGTCTACTCCGGTAGCATCAGCGTGGAGAGCACTGTGCCAATTTACAGGGAGGAATTCCACTCGGCCAATCTGCTCTTGCTCCTGGGCCCTCTTAAAGTGAGCATGCAGCAAATTGAGAGAAACAAGCCGGAAGTCATTCACTGCAAGAGGAAAAACAGACAAATCATGGTCACATACTTGAACAATGGCAATTGGTGCACTGCTAAACTGGAAGCTCTTGGCAGCAAATAATCACAAAATAAAAATACCACTGGAAGAAATCAGATTCTGCTCCTTTCACGAGCAGTTTAGAAAAAGAAAACCAACTGATTGGTTGTCAAGTCTAGAATTAGCTTCCAATAAAACAAAAAAAAAAAAAAAAAAAAAAAAAAAACTTAGTGCACACATATTGACAGCAGCCAGGAGAATGATTCCATCATGTTATTGGAAATCTATAGACTCCCTCACAGAACCAACCAATCTTGGTTATAGCTGGGGTGACAATAATGGAAAATCTGACTGCTATAGCAGATGACTGCCTGAAGCCTTTTCATAAATAATGGGATTTATGGGATGGTTCTGTTTTTGGGTCATCCCCCTGTTCAGCTGCCTCCTCCTCACAAACCTTAGTTATTCCTTAGCCATGCTAGGCATGCAGGTATACCACCCCATCCTGTGTATGGTACATTGTATTGTATCCATCGAGATAACTGGGACTCCTCCTTCTCTCCTTTACTATGTTTGTATTATTATGTTTATATTTAATTTTATTAATCTCTTTGCCAAACCTGGATGATCCACTAAGGATATGTTATGTTTAGTATAGTATTTTAACCACTTGGTTTACTATACACTTCATGTTGACAGTGTTGGTCTATTCAATGGTAAAGTCCGACTGACAAGACAACGTCTGTGATGGCTACCAGCTGGTCCTGGTCATAGACTCAGAATATACTAAAGCTAGGGACAACTAGGCAACTAGCTTTTTTAGAAGGTGCTCAGTATTGTCAGCTCACATATCTTTCTCATTACAGGTTTGCTTTATACTGATGAAATCAACAAGTGTTGACTTACCACACTGTACAATGCTTCGAAATTGCAGATCACAAGCTGGTCCTATACCATGGACCATAAACACCAGGTGATCGATCTGGGCTGGCTCACCTGGCAACAAATAAAAAATAAGCCATACATCAGCACATACTAATGGAAAGACAGAATTTAGGGAAACAAAAAGTAGGTAAGTCCTGGAAGGTAGCCACAGGAAAATGCAGTATACTTTGTTAATGTGCCCCACTTGTGGTCAGAAGTACAACTGCACTGGTTTATTACATCCCTAAAGCAAAGAAAAACAATTGCAAATCTGCTAAAAAGTAAAAGGTACAGTTGTATTGTCATTAGAAGACACACGTGATAAATTTTTAGTACATGTACCTACCTTTTAAATGCCCCAACCTACAACAATATGAGCATTAGTTACCCCATCATCTAATGATGAAATTATAAGTATTATACTTAAAAGCAGTATTACCTTGAGGAATTTCTACAGAAATATTTTCCACCCCTCTTTTCACTGTCCGGGGTCGGCCTTGTTCACTTGGCGTGGCCCCCCACTCATCTGCGACTCCTGATGGCTGGTAGTGCACCATGAGCTGAAGATTGACAAAAGAAAAAGTAAAGCTGAAGAGATAAAAGCATGCGTGTAAACCTTTATAGAGCAGCTAAATGCAGTGTAATGATCCACCAAGTGATGATTTGCAGGACACTCCAGTATGGGTGAACCTACATAAACCTAGGTACATTTTTAAAAAATAAATAATAAAGAATTGCAGTGTATGCAACAGCCAGTTTATTGCACAGATGCGACAAAAGAAAGGTGAAATCTGATAACAGTTTAATTTTTTTTTAACCACAAACTACAAATTTGTGGGGTTCTAGGTTATCTTTCAAAAGATTTATTGTTGGTTTGAGGCCACGCTGTCAGATCAGCTCCTGAGCTGATGTATCCTCTGGTATTGAGCTTGTGCATCTCCTAACACTGGTGATGTTGCTTCCATCTGCTTCAGACGGCCCATGTCCTCATGGATGATGGCTTTTAAGCTTGATATGCTCTTTTATTCCTACTTCATGTAAGTAGTTCATTTGCATTTTTTCTAATAAATTATTTAATCTGCTGCACTTAGAAGCGCCCTCTTGTGTCTCTTTTACATAAGTAGTACACAGTACATATATGTCTATTACAGCCTAGTAAATCCCATAGTCCAAAAATCCATTTGGATTATCCATCGGTATAAGATAAGAATTTCTGCAGCGCCTCTAGTAGAATAGGGATGATCTTCACTGGTAAAGAACATTGAAGGTGCAGGTGTGCCAAAACTGAGCTTTAATGAGTAAAACATAAAAAACTCTCACTTACAGTTAGGTTAACCTGCAGGGTTAGCAGCCCTCCTTCCTCCTGCCCTGTGATTGGGGCAGGGACAGCCAGAGAGATTGGAGAATGCAGCTCCAGTTCTCATGTTCTCTGTGCTGCCTGTCATGCCTTTTGCAGATCACAGAACTTGGTCGCTCCTATATAACAAAGGGGCTTACACTCATTTTTTAATTAGGAGCAGGCTCTACTTCATTTTTTAAATGCAGAGAACATACAGTTCGCCTGCTATAATGAATCGATGGCAAAAGACACAGGGGAGTCCAGTGTGTCAGTGCTGACATTACAGTGTACAGCCTGACAGCTGATTGAAAAACTCAAGGTGTCATTCATACAGTCATGGCCGAAATTGTTGGCACCCTTGATATTTTTTCCTGAAAATCAAGTATTTCACACAAAAAAGGTATTGCATTAACACATGTTTTGCTATACACATGTTTATTCCCTTTGTATGTATTGGAACAAATATAAAACAGAGGCAGAAAAGCAAATATGACATAATGTCACACAAAACCCCCAAAAATGGGCTGGACAAAAGTATTGGCACCCTTAACTTAATATTTTGGTTGCACACCCTTTGGAAAACATAACTGAAAATCAGTCGCTTCCTATAACCATCAATAAGCTTCTGACACCTCTCACCCGGAATTTTGGACCACTCTTCCTTTGCAAACAGCTCCAGGTCTCTTATTGGAAGGACACACCTTTTCCCAACAGCAATTTTAAGATCTCTCCACAGGTGTTCAATGGGATTTAGATCTGGGCTCATTGCTGGCCACTTCAGAACTCTCCAGCGCTTCTTTGCCATCCATTTCTGAGTGCTTTTTGACGTATGTTTGGGGTCATTGTCCTGCTGGAAGACCCAGGATCTTGGACGCAAACCCAGCTTTCTGACACTGGGCCCTACAGTGCGACCCAAAATCCTTTGGTAATCCTCAGATTTCATGATGCCTTGCACACAGTCAAGGCACCCAGTGCCAGAGGCAGCAAAACAACCCCAAAACATCATTGAACCTCCACCATATTTTACCGTAGGTACTGTGTTTTGTTCTTTGTAGGCCTCATTCCGTTTTCGGTAAACAGTAGAATGATGTGCTTTACCGAAAAGCTCTATCTTGGTCTCATCTGTCCACAAGACGTTTTCCCAGAAGGCTTTTGGCTTACTCAAGTACATTTTGGCAAACTGTAGTCTTGCTTTTTTATGTCTCTGTGTCAGCAGTGGGGTCCTCCTGGGTCTCCTGCCATAGCGTTTCATTTCATTTAAATGTCGACGGATAGTTCGCGCTGACACTGATGCTCCCTGAGCCTGCAGGACAGCTTGAATGTCTTTGGAACATGTTTGGGGCTGCTTATCCACCATCCGGACTATTCTGCGTTGCAATCTTTCATCAATTTTCCTCATCCGTCCACGACCAGGGAGATTAGCTACAGTGCCATGGGTTGCAAACTTCTTGATAATGTTGCGCACTGTGGACAAAGGCAAATCTAGTTCTCTGGAGATGGACTTGTAACCTTGAGATTGTTGATATTTTGCCACAATTTTGGTTCTCAGGTCCTCAGACAGTTCTCTCGTCTCCTCTTTCTGTTGTCCATGCTTAGTGTGGCACAGACAGACACACAATGCAAAGGTTAAGTGAACGTCTCTCCTTTTTATCTGCTTTCAGTGTGTGATTTCTATATTGCCCACACCTGTTACTTGCCCCAGGTGAGTTTACAGGAGCATCACATGCTTGTAACATTCTTATTTTTATCCGCAGTTGTGAAAGGGTGCCAATACTTTTGTCCAGCCCATTTTTGGAGGTTTGTGTGACATTATGTCGAATTTGCTTTCTTTCCTCCCTTTTTTTTGTTTTGTCCCAATACACACAAAGGGAATAAACATGTGTATAGCAAAACATGTGTTAATGCAATACGTTTCGTGAGAAATACATGATTTCCTGGAGAAATATCAAGGGTGCCAACAATTTCGGCCATGACTATATATATATATATATATATATATATATATATATATATATATATATATATATATCTCTCTATCTATCTATCTATATCTATCACACTTTCGACACCCTATGAATGGTCACAGGATGTTAACCTAACTGTAAGTGAGAGATTGTCGTTTTACTCAAAGCTTTCAATTTTAAAATACCTGCATCCACAATGTTCTTCTCTCTTTACACTGTGCTTCATGTGTCCTGTATGATGAATTACAGTTTATAGGGGCAGAAGGCCCAGGATATTATAGCAGTAAGGTCTCCAAGAGATATAAAGAGTAAGTGGGTGACTCAAATATCAAACACTCCAGTCTACAATGGGAATATCAAGTTTGGGTGAACCAACCTTTCGCAATGAACCCATCAGGACAGGAATGTGAAAGGGGTTATTGAAAACTACTTAACTAATTACTAACCTAAAGCAAAAACATAGCTCCAGCACCTAAAGCTTGTTCCAGTGTAGTGGTACAGAAAGGATATGAATAACTACCTCAGAGCTTGCAGCTTCAAAAACAGACAATAGCAGCTCTCGTTTTTGTATCCTGCCTTGTTTCCTTTAAGAAGAGCACACATCCTCCCACCAGGTAGTACTTTAGTATTCCCATAGAATGATACAGATCTGGGTAAAGTACGGCTGACAGTACGCTTCCCCCATTTACCTTGGGGTTATGAAGAATAATGAGGTCTCTTGATGGAGATTCCAATCTCTTCTTCCATTCATTCAGGACCACAGCTTCCATGTAAGAATTCTGCACACACAAACATCAAACATTATAGTCCATCTTTTCTTCTTAGTGTACTCTGAGGTCCATTCTTGCCACAATAGTTGATACTAATGTAACTCTATTGTAATCATGAGAGGCTGTACTCTCCCTATACACATTGAAAAGGTACATGACATCTACACTGTGTGGGAGCCCCCCCCGCATACTAAAGCTATAATATTTAAAATCTGTCAAAGCTGTGCATAGTAACCAGTCAGCTTCTAAGTTTTGTTGCCAAAGCTTAAAATATTACTAAACCCACAACAGTAAAATCAGTCTGTATATGCAGTAATTCATGCTGGTTATACTCACTGTGGAACCTAAGGGGTTAATTCTCTGCATTGTGTAAAAACAGTTTGATCCTGACTTCTCTGATCCTTCCCTTCTTCCAGTGTCTCCCTCTTATCTCCTGATAAGACATTGTGTGGAGTCACTCTGCACATGCTCAGTTTAGTGTGTATTGAGAGATTTTTTTTTCTTGGGAGAGTGCATTTGATCAGCACAGGGCCAATCAGCACTGTCCAGACAGAGGTCCGGGGTTCTGCATCCTACTAGAGCAGAATGAAAACTCCTTCTACAAGCTTTAACGTGCTGGGCTGGAAACTGATAGAAGTCACAAGACTGCTCTAACTGCTGTTGAGAAAAGGTATGTAGCAGTTTGTATTTACTAAAATGATTGCAATTGCACTTCCATGTTCTGTGTAGTATGGGAGACCAGATACAGTGAATGAAGGGTCCTGGGTTTAGCAACACTTTAACTGCACAAGCTGAAGATAGAAGCTAATCGGTTACTATGCACAGCTGCATCAGAATCTGTATTCCAGTTTTAGTAAATGCCCCCCCCACCTCCCCCCAGTATTAGAGAAAATGTTTTATTGTGATATATACATGCCTGCAAAAAAAAAAAAAAAAAAAAAAATGTAAACGGTTCCAGTTTTCATGCCTAGATGCCCCATCATAATTCCTGTAGAAATCAGGGATCTCATCTTCTACGGTACTGGATTTCAGCTGATGAAAATACAGTTCAGTGTGAACACTGGTTCTTGCAACACCTTTTCAATTATCCCCTACAATCTTGCTAACACATTAGAGTGTGAGACTGTGGTTGCACATCACAATCATGTGACAGGATGCTGCAGTACTGTACAGATAGGAAGCTAGAAGACATTTCTCCAATTTCTGACAGGGGTTCTAACCCTTTCTGAATCTAGCCACAACTTAAAACATGGTTCTGTCTGGAGTTGGACTTTAGCACACTGACTGGACTTTTTGACCTTAAAACATAACTAAAAGGCAAAACTTGTTTTAGTTTTGGATGGAGTGCAGATGGATTAGAACACCCATCAGGTTTTTTTTTTGCAGATTGTGAACGTGTTAGACAAATTCACCCCCTCTATTTGCCCTGTTTACCATTATCATTGAAAGTGAAAGTAAAGAAAACCCCAAGTTTTGAGTTGTCCCCAGAAAAGTAATAAAAGGGGAACTTTTCCCTTAGTTCTGGAGACCTGGGGGTCCCCAATGAATTCCCTTAATTTGCGGGAATTCTCTCTCATTTCCTGTTTTGACTATGGTACTTCCACTCAGGTTGCCTAGTTTTGACAGGTACTCACCCTACAAAAAAAAAAAAATAATAATAACTTGTGTTCAAAAGAGTAGTTAGAGAAGGGAGGGAGGAGGGGGAAAAGCAGATCTTCCTTTTTGTCCTATCCACCCTATCCCGAAACACTTACCTGGCTCTATGTCACCTCTCCAATGCTGTTTCTGGCTGCAGCACTGCTCCCCTCAACTCTGCTTTCACAGGTGAAACTGCTGCTGTTAGTCCCACTCCTGTGAACATGGATCAGGGGTGTGGCTTACTGATGCCATGTGTATCTATGGAAGCATACAGCCCAGCTATGGAGCAAACACATGCGAGTGTTTCCTTCGCACTCGGCTTGCTACAGAAGGCACCTGCAGGAGGGTGAAGCTGACTTCCAAAAGAGAAGGAAAGTGACCTTTCTGTGAAATGTCCCAGCACAGAGCAGGAAAGTATTATCTTTATTTAAAAATTACCAAAAAAAATGATGTCTTTAATATCAGCTCAATTCTTGGGAAGCATTAGCATGTCACTGGCTAAACTGGGATCCTGACCATTCTATCACACTGATATAGTATTATGCTGAACTTTTTTCAGCTTCTCTAGCCTCTCTGGACCAGTACACAGTCCTTTATTTTCTTAATGGTACTGTAATTGCCCCCCACACTGGTTTATGAAATATTAGTATTTGGCCAAGGTGAGAATACAAAGTACCGTGGCTATACTAACCTCTGCGGAACCAGTTTATTTTAGCACAGACATTCCTACTATACATCATGGCTTCTTAAAAGAGACCCAGTCACCAGACCATTGATTGCAACAACAATCATCCCATATGTTTAAATGTAAATTTAAAATGTCCCAGACATGGAATTTACCTGTAACACACTCTCTTGTGTAGCCATATTAAAGTCCTAAAACTGCTGTTGGACACTGTCATCTTAAATGTGATCAGCAGCCCAAGCAAACTCAGAGGTGTCACTCAAGTATCATCCTATAGTACACTGCTTCACTCCCCCTTGTAGCTACATAAAAGGTTGTGTAGGAGAGGGAGGTTAGGGGAAGAGGAGCTAGGTCAGCACAGGCAGTAATGAGACACTCCCAGAAGAGGAAAATGCTAGGACATACAAGGAGGGAGGGGGCTGTACTAGTGAACTGACTCTTCTTGAAGCAGACATTTTTCTAGCAAGTTCGGAGGCACATTATAAGTGAATAAAAATTATTTATGGAAAGGAAAAATTGGTGACAGTTTGGATTCACTGGACAGTATCAGGAGTAAGAGATGAATTACCTCTAGGATCTCACTGAAGTTCTCTGAGTAAGGGATATATTTGCTGTCTTTATCCCCTTTGTAGAACCAGGTACACCTCTGCACCAAAGAATCCTCCTCATCCCAGTACACAGACAGCCTCCGACGGCTCCCCAAATACACGTCATATCGTCCTCCACACACTGGGATCACAATACTGTTTGGGTTTTGTCCTAATAACAGAACAAGTAAAATGCCATCAAAATATTGCTACTAAAAATGAGTTATACAAAAAAATATATACATGAGGTTATCAACAGGCATCTCAAGGGAAATACATAGCTGAAGAATTGTTTCACCTCTCTGTGATAAAATGCTCTCTAATGAAACCCATCTCCCCCCCACCCCGAAATGTATGGCTGCACAGAAAAAGAAGCGGCAAAGCTGGGAACCCTTTGCCACTGCCCAGACTCCCAACCGGTCTGTGAACTAACTGGCGAAGCTTCTGCTCCCTGCAAATTGGATGGCTCTAGCTGTAAGTCTCAATGGGGTGTGTCAGACCCCTACAGAGAGACTACTGCTTGCACAGGGTCCTTCTCTACAGTATGATAGGGGACAGGCTTTCCTGCTCAAGCCGAGGTTGATTTTTAAAGAAAATGAACTCTAAGACTTTGCGCACCTTTTCTTTTGATGCACCTGGAATGTTTTTGCCTAATTTAAACTGAAAGTTTGATTGAGCTTTAACTGCATTTTGTCCCCAAGTTGTATTCCACATATTAGCAGCGCGCCGATTGCGGTATTACCTGCAGATAGGTGATGCTACAGCTTTAAGTAAAAGACAGATTTATTTCTTAGCAGCTTAAAAGGATTGCCAAGCTAATTAACTTCAAAGTTAATGGGATTATTTTCCAGATTCACAAATCCAATTACTTAAATGCTTTTGCACCAAACAGGACTTCTATTTTACCTATACATTTTCCAATCCCTTTAAAGCGAAAGTTAGATTTGTTCTCAAAGTTATTATACTAACATCTCTCTGAAAGTAAGTCTTGATTTCTGACACTCTTCATATGTTCACTTTTTTGCTGTTCCATATTTTGGTTAATATATGTCATATAGAGATTTGTGAGTGCTCTGGTGGTCCTCCCAGATCAGAGAATACAATTGTCATTCCAGCTGGGTAGCTCATTTAACCATACATCTTTTTGTTTTCAAATAGGTTGGACATGTTCAATAGATTGACACTAAAGCAGGCCATACATTAAGCAGTTTTCTTTCCTGTAACCACAGGTTGCAGGAAAGAAATTGCTCGATTCCCCCATCACCACAGTCAGTCCCTCCCTCCTTCCCTCCCAAAGAGCTATTGTATTCTGACAGTGGGAGGTTTCCCAGCCATTAGAATACATTGATCACTGCCGGCTACTATAGCCGCCGGTGGTGGTTGATGAAAAAAAAACTGCAGACTGGTTGTACTGAAGTGGAGTACAACCAGCCTGCCCATAGATAGATCGAATCTCGGCAGGTCCCTACTGAACATGCTGACTCCTGTCATTCATGGCTATAGCTGCTCCCATCTATTAGTGCCCTTTGTCATTGCCGTATGTACTATACCAGAACAATATGCTTCCTCCAGTTTGTCAGAATCTTCTTTGCTGAATGGGCTCCAGGATCCCTTGGTGTCCTGTATCTGGAAAAACCAGTGAGGAACTACAGCCTCATAGGTCATTGGTGTCTCCATCATCTCATCGGTCTTCAAGGAGTTGGAGGGTGGAGGTGCCTCCAATGAAGACATTCCCTGATTCTGCAACATAATAGAACAGTCAATGAAGGCTGCACAAACAACACTGCTCTCTCCAACAAATATACTATAGACTTTGTCCTCTCACAAGGTATCAGATGAGATCAGCCATATGACCTGCCCTGAGATGAAACCACAGAGATGATATCATATACTGACAAAGGTCACTCCATAGATGTCAGGTGATTGTAATACAGTATCCACTGGGTCTAGTTTGGGCCAAGTGAAACAACTGCTACATTTTAATCCATGTAGGGTGGAACAAACTAACACACAATTCAGTTGCTAGTTTGTTTAGTTCTGTACACATAGGAGTGCCCGTGTGTCCCAAATATCCATGCTAAAAATGTCATAGCAAAAAGGAACAGGGCCAAATACTTACATATTAAAATCAGATAAAGCCCAGTGGTTTCACTCACCAAGATCCCCTAAAGAAGTTAGGTGAAGCATTAGGAACTCTTGGTTGTAGTTAAACCAGTCACATACACACCTTCACTGAGGAAGTATGGAGTCCACCATTGATGACCTCTTCTTCTATAAATGCTAGCTCCCTGCTTGTCATGGTGATCCGGTGGATTTAGCACTTTTAATGTCTCTGACCAGGAACAAGAATACAGCAACCTTCACTATGACTTTTCTGATCTGTATACTTGCTGTGTGTCAGCGACTCAAGAAGGATTGCAAGCCAAATTGTGGTAACGTGGGCGGGACAGACAAAATTATTTCATGTCTATACTAGACTTCAAATTAGATGCCAGGAAAGGAGGTGAAATGTTAAACGGTTGAATGTACTGATTTCAACATCTACCCATTTTTTTAAACACAATAACTTACGTTTCCATTAATTAAACCAAATTTAGTAAAAGCTAAAACATCTAAAAATACAAATTCCTTTTAAAACTGAAGTTTACCGATTTATTTTTTTAAATCAGCACCAGTGACACTACTTACAATGAACGAGAAGAGTCCTGTGTACTGGTGGATGCTCTGTTCCTTGAAATCTTCATTCCTCTGCCCCCCGATACCCCCACAGCTGTGATTTTCCAGTGCTGCGGGGATTAAAATAAGCGGCTCCATCTGTCACAGGCACTTGTAAAAAGTGTCAACAATGCCTGCCCTTACTGCCCCCCTACTCCACTCATAGAATCTCTACTTTCAGTTCTGCTGTGAATGGATGACAGTGGTCTGCCACCTCCATTCAAAGCGCGCTATTCGGTGTGGGCAAAAAGGGCGGGCATGGTCAGCACTTTTGATGGCTACCAGTGACAGGTGGAGCCCCTTGTACTAACCCCTCGTAGCACTAGAAGATCACAGCTGTGTGGGAATATGTGGGGACAGAGGTGGCAAGATCTCAAGGAACAGAGCAGCCACCAGTACATGGGACACTTGCCATTCATGTAAGTACTGTCTATTATTATTATACAGGATTTATATAGCGCCAACAGTTTGCTCAGCGCTTTACAATATAACGGACTATGGTGCTGATTTTAAAAAAAAGATCACCAAACTTCAGCTTTAAATAAATAACATATTGATTTATTCCTCTGTTGGACTCTAGCAAGATCTCACTACTAGAGTTCTGATTCTCACTGCTGAATTTTCTGTGTGCTGCAAGAAGCACAGCAAGGAACACCAATGACAAGCTTTCCCTGCTGAAGTTCCCAAGTGTCACGAGAGGCCAGTCACCATGTGCAGACTATGAATTGTCATTTTAAATACTCCCTTTAGACCAACAGTGAACCCCAAATGTTTTAAATGTTGTGCAAACTGATACAGACAGACAAATCAACCTAAAAACTTGGAAAGGATCTTTGTAAATACTAGAACAGTTTAATTAGATCACATGTGTGACACCAATCGCATACTGAGTGATATGTGACGGTACTCAAACAGCATATTGGCAGTGGGGACAAGAAAGGGATGGGCAAAAGCATGGAAATTAGGATCAAGGGGGAACCAGTCAAGAGTACATGAGGATTTCTTTTGACCAAAAAAAAATAAATATATATACCACACTTAAAAAGTCAACTGCCCACATTTTTGTAAAGGATAAGTTCACCTATATAAAAATAATAAATGCACATTTTTTGCCGGTAAAATATTTTGCATTTGTTTTATTTTGTAGGAGCCTGCAGACCGCAAGTACAATGTCAGGCTACTGCAGACACTCAGTATAGCTTTCTGCCCATATCTCCCATACGGGCAGACTAGTGTTACTAAAGTCCAGGAAGATCCATGAACTATGAGCACGCTCACGAGCCTCCTTGTAGTCCATTGAGAACTACATGCCATCTGTGGCAGTGACAGACTGTACTTGTAGTTCACTCATTCACAGAACAGCCACACTGTTTTGGAATTCTGAAAGTGGGTGCGGGAAAGGGATCCCCCACTGACTATCACAATGAGAGATCGTGGGGGGGGGGGGGGGGGGTGAGCTGGTACTTTAGTAATATGGGTGTAACATGTTACTAAAATGGAACTTTAAGAACCCATTTACACCTTCACATTCTGGTGCATTAACATATGTTATGTCACACAATACTGAATGAGTCATAGGAGTGATTATTTCCTAATACTGTGCTGTTTCCTTAGATAATTCATAGTGCTTTGGGAATTTTTTATCATCTATTAAAGTTGAACTCCAAGTGAAAACCAAAAAAGAGGGGAAAGGGGGGGGGGGGAGGTAAGTGTAGTAATAGCATGCATTGGCATAATTAATCCAGGCAAGAGTTTTCAAAGGGGTCACCGCCAATTCTGTGAAGACACTTTGTAGTTACACATCTACAAATCTGATCCCTGTCACCATTTTTCTCTTGGTGTTAGGAAACCGTATCAGAAGTGACTGCTAATAGCAAAGGAATGAGGCAGCAGACAGAAATGACACTTAGTGCTCTTAATTGAGACAAATACATACTTTAGATGGACATGCTTTTATTCATATTTCATGTCTGAGGTTTACAACTACTTTAAAGTGATTCTAAAAGGCATAATTAAAAAATTAATTGTCTTAGCCATTGAGAAGAGGGAGTCCTGGGTCGCTGGATCGAGAAGGGGCTTAGGTGAGTATTATGGGAGGCTGGGGGGGGGGGGCGGATACTGCACACAGAAGGTGATTGGTTTCTATGCAGAACTGCACCAGATTTTGCACTCTCCGGTTTTAGTAAATCAATCCCAAAGAGTAAAAATTAAGACCATTCTTTAGGCACAGGGTTCATGAGATACTATATATTCCAGCGTGACATTCTCCACCAACCTCCTACAGACTTGGTTCCATGTCTTGGGAGGGTGAACTGGTATGGGAAGAGTTCTAGTGCACTTGATTGCTTTGTAAATCTTTTCATAGTCCTGCACTGCTTTGTACAGTTCTACAACTTCATCTCAGACTTCCTCAGGAAGCTCTTTATAGTGGTTTTAACTGATCACTACAGGATGTGTAGCCTTTATATACCAAGGAAACTTACCTTAAGTGAAACAGACTTTCTTTCCAGAAGGAGGAGATTTACTTTATTGACCCTCTCTCACCAAATTACTCCTAGTTTCCCTGATTAAAATACAGTCAGGTCCATAAATATTGGGACATCAACACAATTCTAACATTTTTGGCTCTATACACCACCACAATGGATTTGAAATGAAACGAACAAGATGTGCTTTAACTGCAGGACTGTCAGCTTTAATTTGAGGGTATTTACATCCAAATCAGGTGAACGGTGTAGGAATTACAACAGTTTGGATATGTGCCTCCCACTTGTTAAGGAACCAAAAGTAATGGGACAATTGGCTTCTCAGCTGTTCCATGGCCAGGTGTGCGTTATTCCCTCATTATCCCAATTACAATGAGCAGATAAAATGTCTAGAGTTAATTTCAAGTGTGCTATTTGCATTTAGAATCTGTTGCTGTCAACTCTCAAGATGAGATCCAAAGAGCTGTCACTATCAGTGAAGCAAGCCATCATTAGGGTGAAAAAAAAAAACAAAACCCATCAGAGAGATAGCAAAAACATTAGGCGTGGCCAAAACAACTGTTTGGAACATTCTTAAAAAGAAGGAACGCACCGGTGAGCTCAGCAACACCAAAAGACCCGAAAGACCACGGAAAACAACTGTGGTGGATGACCAAAGAATTCTTTCCCTGGTGAAGAAAACACCCTTCACAACACTTGGCCAGATCAAGAACAGTCTCCAGGAGGTAGGTGTATGTGTGTCAAAGTCAACAATCAAGAGAAGACTTCACCAGAGTGAATACAGAGGGTTCACCACAAGATGTAAACCATTGGTGAGCCTCAAAAAACAGGAAGGCCAGATTAGAGTTTGCCAAACGACATCTAAAAAAGCCTTCACAGTTCTGGAACAACATCCTATGGACAGACGAGACCAAGATCAACTTGTACCAGAGTGATGGGAAGAGAAGAGTATGGAGAAGGAAAGGAACTGCTCATGATCCTAAGCATACCACCTCATCAGTGAAGCATGGTGGTGGTAGTGTCATGGCGTGGGCATGTATGGCTGCCAATGGAACTGGTTCTCTTGTATTTATTGATGTGACTGCTGACAAAAGCAGCAGGATGAATTCTGAAGAGTTTCGGGCAATATTATCTGCTCATATTCAGCCAAATGCTTCACAACTCATTGGACGCCGCTTCACAGTGCAGATGGACAATGACCCAAAGCAGACTGCAAAAGCAACCAAAGAGTTTAAGGGAAAGAAGTGGAATGTTATGCAATGGCCAAGTCAATCACCTGACCTGAATCCGATTGAGCATGCATTTCACTTGCTGAAGACAAAACTGAAGGGAAAATGCCCCAAGAACAAGCAGGAACTGAAGACAGTTGCGGTAGAGGCCTGGCAGAGCATCACCAGGGATGAAACCCAGTGTCTGGTGATGTCTATGCGTTCCAGACTTCAGGCTGTATTTGACTGCAAAGGATTTGCAACCAAGTAATAAAAAGTGAAAGTTTGATTTATGATTATTATTCTGTCCCATTACTTTTGTTCCCTTAACAAGTGGGAG